GGGTTTGAACCGCCAGCCATCTGGTTAGCAGGCAAGTATCTTAGCCACTATGCTAAGAGATCCCATAATAGGTTTTGAGATCCTGGAGTGTGAGACCTCCTACTTTGCCCTTCTCCAATAGTTCTTTGCTTATCTGAGATCTCTTTCATTTAGTGATTGCTTCCCCCCCCCCATATCCTTAAAGAACATTTATGGGATCTGGATTGGGATTGCATTGAATGTATAGATTGCTTTAGGTAGTATTGACATTTACGGAATGTTCAATCTCAGTGTGGTATGTTTTGTAAAGGACCAGTGGCAAAGAACTGAAGGACAAGTTGCAATGAGAACAAAAAAGAAAAAATAGTTGGTTCTGTGCAGGGAGGTCAGGGAAGCCTTCACAGAGGAGGTGACCCTGGGCTGGCTCTTGAAGGATGAACTATTTTGCCAGACAGACAAGGGGAAGGAAAGAACAGCATTCCACGCAGAGATAACTGCTTGTACAAAGCAAAGAGATGAAAGATGATGGCATTCTCTGAGAAACTGCAGCTTGCTCTGTCTGGCTAGCCCAGAGGCAGGGTTATTGTGACATTCTTGAAACTTAAGCTTCAGGGCTATTTAGAGGCCCTCTAATGAATATTTAGTCATAATGTTGTATAATTTTTCTTGGAGGGCCCTTCAAATTATATAAGGCCCCACAAAACCTGGATCTGCCTCTGGGCTAGGAGAAAAGGGGAAGATGAGCCTGAAAAGAAAAAATAAAAGCAGGAGCCAGATCATGGAAGGATTTATGTAATTTGCCTATTTGGAGCCATTGAAAGGTCTTAAAAATAGAATGATGTGATCTGATTGGCCTCTGAAAGAGGTACTTTAGGGTAGTATAAAGACAGACTAGAAGAGCAGGAAGATCAGTTAGGAACAATGAGATGGAGTCTAGTAGGTAAATTTGGTGCTGAGATGGGGAAGAGGAAACAGCTTTGATAAATACTGAGTAGGTAGAATCAACAGGACTTGTGGAGATTTGGTGTGCAGTTGTGAAGGGAAAAGGAGAATCTAGAATGAAGTGCAGATGTCTGGCTTTGGAGAAGAGACAGATGGTGTTACCACGAGTAAGAAAAGTGATATGAGAATCTGGTTTTATAATTAAAAAAGAATGTCTGCATTAAGCATTATATTCTTTTAAAGAATTATCTATATGTGATCAAATTGACAGTAGCAACTTGAAAGGATAGATAAGAAGCTTCTGGGGGCAGTGAGTTTGCATTAATGATGGTGAAATAGTTTGGAAAAAGTTGTTGAGAAAGGTAGCACAATTTAAAGAGTGGAACCAAAGTCACTGAATTTTACATGTAGAAATTGTTCAAATGGTGTATATTATATTTTCACCAAAAAATAAAGAAAAGCAGATTTTACAATAATGAGCTCTGTTTTGTTGAGTTTGAGCTGTCTGTAGAACATCTAGACACAGGATGACCTTCAGTGGTAGGCGGTTGAATGTACAGAGTTAGAGGTCAGAACAGGGTCTAGGCTGGAAGTAAAGGTTTGGGTTAGCAGGGTATGGGTGATAACTCTTCAACCATGACAACATGTAAGATCACCCAGGGATCAGAGGAGAGTGAAAACACTGGGTTACATACAAAAGCCTTGGGATGTTAAGTAAGCAGGTGGAGGAAAAGACATGCTGAAAAGATACTGAACAGGAGTAATCAGAGAGGTAGGAGGAGAACCAGGAGAGATTGTTGGCCATTGAAAAGGGTGTGCAGTGAGGGGTGGGACAAGGGTCAGAGATAAGCATGTAATGAGAGGGATGGGGTCAGGAATGGGGCGGGGGTCAGATACCTTCTGGCAGTCACACCACATTTCACTAGAAGTCACATGGTCATCACACATGCTCATCTCAGAAAGGGATACTGATCATTCTGAGCAAAGGATCTGTTCATCCTTCGAGGATCATCTTGCTTCTGAAATGAGCTGTATCTCAAATTCTCCTATTTCTCCCTTAAAGTCACAACAGGCACACTCCATTTCTTTTAATCAATAAATATATTTTGCTTCTTAATAATTGAACTAAATTCTGTTTTCCATATGAAATTCTAGAAGAAGGATACCTCTGATTTTTCACATAAAAAACAAACCAAACTCACTGCCATCAAGTCGGATCTGACTCATAGCAAGCCCTCCTTGGGTTTTGGAGGTGGTATCACTACGAAAGTAGATTGCCCAATGTTCCTTCTGAGGAACAGCTGGTGGGTTTGAACTGCCATCTTTCTGGTTAGCAGTCAAATGCCTTAGACACTATGCTACCAGAGCTCCTGTTTTTTCAAATAGGGTTTCTTACTCAGTTAGCCTTGTTTGTTTGAGACTAAATGAGAACCTGGGGAAAGAGGATATTTGGACCACAGTATGTGTGCTTACTCTCATTTGCAGTTTGCTCAGGAACTGCTCAATCACATTTCACAGTTCTCCCACTGACATATCTGGCATTGGAGAATGCCTTGGTCATGATGGCTTGGGAGGACTGATGAGCTGCTACTGCCCCTTAGAGGCTAATCTATGTCCATTCCAAACCCAATCCCACTACCATCAAGTCAATTCTGACTCATAGCGACCCCCATTGGGTTTCTGAGGCTGTAAATCTTTATGGAAATAGATTGCCTCATCCTCCCATAGAGCAGCTGTTGGGTTTGAACCACCAACATCCTAGTTAGCAGCCAAATGCCTTACCCACTATGCCACCAGAGCTCCTTTAAAAATATTCTTGGCATGGTGTCTGAGGCATTTGACTGCTAACCAGAAGGTTGGCAGTTCAAACCCACCAGCTGCTCCATGGAAGAAAGATGGGGCAATCTACTTCTGTAAAGATTTACTGCCTTGGAAACCCAATAGGAGTCATTATGAGTTGGACTTGACTCGATGGCAGTGAGTATGGCTTTATTTTTTTTATTGGTTTTCCAGTTGATGCTATAAATATGATACAAAAGAAAACAAAAGGAAACAAAAACACAAGCCTGTTGTTGAGTTGATTCCTATGCACAGCAACTCTATAGGACAGAGTAGCATTGCCACTTAAGGTTTCCAGTGCTGTAAATCTTTATGGAAGCAGACTGCCACATCTTTCTCCCATGGAGTGGCTGGTGGGTTTGAACAGCTGACCTTTCAGTTAGTAGCTGAGTGCACCAATACAGCACCTCTATAAATGTGATCCAAAACCAAACCCACTGCCATTAAGTCAGTTCTGACTCATCGAGACCCTATAGGACAAAGTAGAACTGCGACATAGGGTTTCCAAGGCTATAAGTCTTTATGGAAGCAGTCTTGCCTCATCGTTCTCCTGTGGAACAGCTGATGGGT